TTGCTTAATATAGTAATTTCCTAAATTATAAATTTTTTTGTAGAAGTATAATGCTAAAATATTTTTTATTAGATGCTTAAAAATTTAAAGAATGGCATAAATTAATTTTATAATAGCGGGCTTGGGTTAATATTTTTTATATATAATGGGCGAGTAAAAATTTTTAGACTAAGATGTGCGGCGGGTAAGGAATTTAGACTATGGGCGGGCGGGTATATATTTTTGAAAACTATGGGCCAGCTGAGCGGGAGGGTTAAGATTTATATAATCATTGGGTGGGCGGGCTTATGGTCCATAAACCCACAATGCAGATCTCTAGTGTATTTTGTAGCTCCATGAAAAAAAAAGTTTCAGCCAAACGATTGTTTCTTATTTTCAAATTTCTCTAAATCCTTCATGGTTTCAGTGAGGGCATCAAGTCTTGCCTGTAGAGCTCATCTTTATCGATCCAGTAGTCAAATTTACTGGTGCACACTATCGTCACATCCTACAAAATGAGCATTTATTACCTGCTATTAAAGAATTGTCAAGCAGTAAATTCTTCATCTTCTTCTCTTCTCTTCTCTTCTCTTCTCTTCTCTTCTCTTCTCTTCTCTTCTCTTCTCTTCTCTTCTCTTCTCTTCTCTTCTCTTCTCTTCTCTTCTCTTACCTTATCTGAAATATTGAACTTTTGAGAGATTTCTTTGATATGACTTTACAATTTTAACATAAGAATATTTCCAGAATTTTTATACATGCCACGCCTCTTGACTTGATTGTCTTTCAATGGTTTATCGTGTTTTATTGTAGTCCACAAATTATTTGCCGTGGTGCAGATAGATTGAGTCTTATAAATATTTTATAAGTGCTGAAATTAATTCTCGTACTTTTCTTCAATTTTTGATTGCGGGCACCCCCTTGATAAAATTTTAACTAATCTAATATTACTAAAAATGTCAAGAAAATAGTATTAATATTTGTTACATATTAGTAACTATATAATTTTTCAACGATATATTCGTATTGTATTAATATACTTTTTTATTTTAGACAATGAAGGTTTAAGGCAATCGTTTGGTATATAATAATTTGTAAATTATTGGATAACGTTATTTTATATAATATACATTTTTTCATGATTGATTTACCTTGGATATAAAAAGAGATCTTATATTATAAAATTTATCAGTTAACTTTTTATGAGAAAAATAATTTGTTTGAAATAACTTATTTAACATAGAATATTCTATTTATTGTCAAGACTTTTCTTCTCTTGTCAACAATACTTATCTTTATATAAATTCTATATAGCCTCCCATCATTGTAACAAGACTTAAATTATAAACCTTCTTGCAAAAAATGCTATCAATTTCATTTTGTGTAATTATTAGATTTATTTTAATTATTAATGGCATTAAATGAAACTTATATGCTGGATCGGATAAATTATTTTGTGGTGATGGGGAGCTAATTTATTCCCTCTTCTGTTTTGGATATAATTGGCACTTGAAAATTTCTAAATAGCTTCTTTAATTATTAATAATATTGATTCAAACAAAACAATGTACATTAAAAGTTTATAAAAATATAATGGAAACTTCCTAACAATATAATATCCTAATATAATTAATATTTCTAAATGATCCAAAGAAATTATCCATTAATTAAGATAAATGCAAGCAAAAATAAAAACAAAACGTATATATTATTAAATATAATTTTATTAGTAAATTATAAATAATTTAATAAGTTCAAGAAATTTTATACACATGTTTGTTAACACTTTATAGACTTTTAGTTTGTTAAGGGTTGGCATGGTTTATTTTTTTCACTTTAATCATTTTAAAAAATTTTCATCCAAAATTAAGTTTTGGAGATTCAAGGGAACGTCCGACAAATTAAAAATATATTATTCAATGGTGTTATATTCTATTCATTACATTAATAATAAAATGCACGCCTTGCCTTTTTTTTGGTGTTATCATTGCCGTATCCAGGAATTTCCTATTACTTTTGCACTCTAAAAAATTTAAAAACAATATTCTTCATTTCCGAGTTGTGTATTTCATCAATTATTTGAATTAAATAGAAATCAGCCTACTGGTTATTTTCAATAATCTTAATAAAATAAATAATATTTCTAATATACAACATGCCACTCTTTTCAACGCCCCAGTTGAACCATATTCAGTGTAGTAATATGCGGAGATTTGATATAAACTTTGAAAATGATTTACTGTTAGAAAATTTAATATTGAGGTTAATTCATAAATATTTTATTTAATATACATATCATTCTTTGCCGGGGCCCGTCAAAGAAAGGCAGGTTAACCACAAATTTTTCCCTTTATTTTATGAAGTAAAGAAAAGTATCCTATAAGGTGGTTCAGAAATTTTCCATTATTTTGATGTAGCATGTTAGTAAAAAATGTATTTAGTGTTTTCAACTATAATAAATTATTTAAAAGAGATTAGAGAATGATATTATTTTTTATTATCTTACAATTTCTCAAAATATGATCAAATAAAACGTTTTTTTCAAACATTTTTATTTATACATTAGGATATCTGTATTATTATATAAAAAGATAAATCTTGCTAAGTAAAGGTTCCATAATTTTTTTCTATGATTTTTTCACCTAGAAAATGCTCACCCAGCAAAATTACAATTTTTTAGATCATAAATATTAAATGCAAATATTTTAAAGAAAATAGTTATAACACTATATTATTGATCATGTAAAGAAATATGTCTAAGATACTATGAAACTTTTATCTTAAAAATAATATGATTTACAAATATCATCCAAATAATTTCTGCATAGTTGAAGTTCTTATACTTAAGATACTTTATCAACTTTTTGGTAAATTTCAGGTATTTATACTTTATTAATAAAAAAAAATTATGATCCACCTGCAGCAATAGAATGAGAGGCTATCTGTTAATTAATAAATAACCCAAATATAAGTGATCTTATAATATAAATTAAACCCTCTTCAAAATTATTATTAATATCCTCTTTTTTTTCATTTTTTTTTTCATTATTAACAGGATAATTTATTGATTTATTTTTATAATATTAAAATTAACATATCAAATATAAAATAAAATAAAACAACATTATATAAAAACAAATTCCCAAAAAACATGAATAATTATATTTTAAATTAGTGATTTGAAGGTTTTGTTTTTAAAAATAGAATTCTTTGCATATATATCGAAGATCCTCGTCCAGACGCCGTAGTCTGTAAGCTTGATTTTAAAAATGCTTTTAATTCTTTATCCAGAAAAGCATTTTTGAACATTTTTTATGTTCCCAGTTTATGCAAGATTTATTGAACAGTCTTATGGCTGTAGAACCCCTCTCAAATTCGGGGAATACACAATTCCTTCTGATGAAGGTATTCAACAAGGAGACCCTTTGGGCCCTCTGATCTTTAGTTTAGGTATACATAACCTAGTTCATTGTCTAAAATCCTCTTTTAATTTAGATTTAAACATATGGTATCTAGATGATGGTACCATTTGCGGACCTTCTAAAAATATTCTTGCAGCGATAGAATATATAGAGAAGAATTCTCTAAACATAGGCCTTACTCTAAATAAAGCTAAATCGGAAATATGCTTTTTAAATTCAAATACTCTCAAAGTCCAAGGGTTTAAAATCATTAAAAAAATGAAATTAATCTTCTAGGTTCACCTTTAAGCAGTTTTTCCAGCTGTGAGGTGTTCGTGGAAAAATTTTCGAAGGCTTATCAGGACTTGAAACTATTTTAAACGAAATTCCTTCACACCAGAGCTTTTTTCTTTTAAAAAAATATTTATTTTTACCAAAGATTTTACATATTTTTAGATCTTCTTCCTTTTTTTTAAATAATGAAATTATTAATCGTGTTCAGGAATTTTTAAAAGTTTATTAGAAAATATTTTAAATTTTAAATTGGAAGATTTTAATTGGGGTTTCTCACAATTACCCTCGAAAATGGGTGGTTTAGATTTATATCCTTTAAATCTTATATCTCTTTCCTCATTTTTGGCATCGCGTTTGATGAATAACGCCATGATATCTACTTTTATCTCTCCTAAAGATAACCTTTTAAACTCAGCCTTGACAGCCTGGGTATCTTTAGCTCCACCTGAAGCTTTCTTACCCACAATCTTAACACACCAATCTATTTTCGAACCTTTAATTAAAAAATTTTTCCCTCTTTGGAGTATATTCTACTATTACAGAATGCTGACTGTACTAGTGGTTATGAATGGTTGGAAGCATTACCAAGTCGTATCCTAGGTAACCTCTTATCAGATGAACAATTGAGTTGCCATAGGCCATCGACTTGGATGTAACATTGTTCAACCACATACATGCATCAAATGTAAAATTTTAGTTGACTCTAAAGGGAGACATGGTCTAAATTGTATATATAGTCAAGGCAGGCATGCAAGGCATGCAGCAATTAATTTAGCTATTAGCCGTTCTCTTACCAGGGCCCGAATACCAAACATCCTGGAGCCTACAAATTTATCGTTAGATGATGGCTTAAGACCTGATGGCTTAACTTCCGTGCCTTGGTCTTTAGGGAAATCCTTAATTTAGGGCTTCACATGCGTATCTTCTTTCCCCAAAAATTTAAATTCTAATCCGGTTGATATAGCCGAGAAAAAAAAACAATGAAATATTTCAAATTCACAAATTATATTTTTACACCGATCGTAATCTCTTCCCTTGGACATATGCCAAGCGGAACTTTAAAGTTTAAAAAAAATATAGAGGATAAGACAAGAGCCCTTACATCAGAACCAAAGGAATTCTATTTTTTAAAACAAAACCTTCAAATCACTATTTTAAAATATAATTAATATCCTTAAGTTTTGAAACCTTGACTTGAAGATAATTGTAAATATTCCTGATAATCAAATTTATGAAAATATTATATAAATATCTCGATAATTAAACGAAAAAAATTATTTTGATATTTTACGATGATTGATGTCAAACCTGCTGTTGACTTTTTAGGTGATTACGAAGTATTCCCATAAAATCAAGCATTTAAATATAAATGGTAAATGAGGAATCTGAATCAAGCGTAAGCGCAAATGAAGACGAAATTAATATGTTTGAAGATACGAAATGCTTATTATGTGATACAAACTTTTCAAATCCTTATAATTTATACAATCATTGTCATAGTCATCATCAATTTGATATTATTAGCATTATTAAAAAATATAACCTCGATACATTTGGTTATATAAAGCTAATAAATTTTCTACGTGAAATAATTCCAGTAAGCAATATATTTTTTACTTTGAATTTTATATGGTATTTAATTAGAAAGATACAAATGATGCTTATAATTATATTACAAATAAATCATGGGACTTTGAGAAATATATGACTCCTACAATAAAGGACGATTCACTTTTAATGCTAGGTAAAAATTAATTTTTTTTTAGCAATTTTTAAAAATTATGACAGATATTGAAGACATTATAGATATGAAATATTCACCTTCCAGTGTATCTGATGTTAATAATGTAGCACTCATTTTAAATGGTGACTTAGAAAAGGATAGAGGCCATAAACGGTTTAAAGAAAATAATGATAAAGACAAATCTAATGTGAAAAATGAGGAAATACTTGGATTAAAGTCCAAAATTGAATTTTTGGAAGGAACTTTAAAAGAGATGCATATAACTACAAATATTCTTAAGTTTTTGAAATGAAATTTTTTTTATTTTTAATTATTTTATATTTTTAGAGATAGATTAAAAGAAATTATTTGCACAAATGGTCAAAATGATGGTACATCAACACCTAACAAGACTGATATTCCTCCTTGCAATGAAAAATTATATTTTGACTCTTATTCTTATATAGAAATTCATGAAGAAATGTTAAAGGTATTTACACATTGTTATTTCCCAAGAATGAATTACCCCTTAAACTGGTAACAAATCTAGGAACACCATATTTACAAAAAGACTAAAGCCCCTTTATGTTTTTTTAAAATTACTTACTAATATATAACTCAATTGGGAACCACCCAGGGATATTTTGAGCAAAAATCTTAAAATATTATAAATTTAAAAAAATGAACTTAAAACAAATATATATAAAAACATATCATGATTTTTTAAAAAAATATGCACATATAAAAAGACAATTAAAAATTTGATATGGGTTTATTTATATTGTTATATGGAACCATGAGCAATAAGTTATATATGATGGTGATTATAATAGATACTTAAAAAATCTCTAGTGCTTTTTTTAAAAAAACTCAAATGAAATATAAGTTTATTCTCAAGATTTTAGAGAATATATAAGAAATATTTCCAATTTTTAAGCAATTTATAACCTATGACCTTATTAGAAGCAAGGTAATACAATAAATAATTTAAATAATTTTCACCAAAATCATAGAAAAATATAAAAATTATTATTAAATTAACTATAAACTGCAAAATTTTATATGAAAATATTTTTTAAAGAATTTTTGAATATTCTTTTATTCAAATATATTAAATCTAAAATATTCCAATTCGAATATATTTAATGAATATTCTTTGGAACACTAGTGCTAAAACTCACGATATTTAATCCTCACTGATTGTTAAAATTCTAATGTTAATTAATTATGCAAAAATATGGAAATTTAGGATAGAATTAGAACTGAAAGCTACAAAAATGCCATATTTTCCAAATATAAACCTTTAATCAATGATGACAATAGCATACCTCAAAATGTATTTCAGGACAAAATAGTTTTAGATATAGGTTGTGGAAGTGGAATATTATCTTTGTTTGCAGCCCAAGCGAATGCCCACAAAGTTATAGCTGTGGATCAATCTGATATTATCTATGAAGCTATGGATATTGCCAAGTTTTTTTTTAACATAAAAATATAATTTATATTTGATACAAGAACAAAACTTGCACATAATTATATTTATCAACTAAATTTATAAAGTAATAGAGGTTTAAAATTAAAAGACATTTGAATTGAAAAAAAGTAATATATTGCAAATTATTTAGGGAAAATGGGTTTGAGGAGAAGATAACATTTATAAAAGGCAAGATCGAAGACATCATTCTACCAGTTGAGGAAGTAAACGAATCTAAATATTATTGACTTGAAATTATTAATATAAATTTTTTTAAAAAAAATCATTAAATAATTCTTATATTATTAACGATGATCAAAAACATCTCTCCAATCCCTGCCAGTATAGGGGGGTTATCATATTTTGTTTAAGACCAAACACAGAACTGAGTTTAATTCATTTTGTTTATGACCAAACATAGAACTGAGTTTAATTCATTTTGTTTATATCTAAGTTTTTATTTCAAACTTTTCAAAACAGGCTTGTTTTAGTAGTATTTTAAGAATTAGTTTATTAAATATTATTTAGAAGTATTGTTGTTAAACGGGCTTAATTTATTAAAACGGCTAACCCAATATATTTAGCCAAAAATATAATGCAAGCCTGGAGATTGGATATCTATTCACTAAATTTTTAGGCTTGGCTAATATTATTTTAGCTACCATCTTAATTTATTAAAACGGCCAACCCAATATTTTTAGCCAAAAATATAATGCAAGCCAGGAGATTGGACATCTATTCACTAAATTTTTAGACTTGGCTAATATTATTTTAGCTACCATCTTAATTTATAAATTGCCAAATCGAGCTGTTTAACAACACTATTTTATGATCCAATCCCAAGAAAGTTTATTTCGTCCGATACGATATGATTCGAATTATTATTCCAAAGATCTGAATCTGAATGGAATTACAGGCTTTTTTTTGAATCAGGTTGAGGCTTTATATGTCTTAATCTCATATTATAAGATGGAATTTATATATTGTAGGTGGATATAATAGTATCTGAATGGATGGGGTATTTCCTTCTTTCCGAATCTATGATATCGAGCGTCATTTATGCTAGAGATAAATACCTCAAGAAAGATACGGGAATAAGTATAATAATTTTAAATATGCCGTGAAGCCTCTATATGGTGCGACGTCTGGCTCCAACACAAAGGGCTGTTAAATTTATGGTCATTGTAGAGAGCGATGTACGCCGTTGTAAGTAATTTTTAATAAGATTTTGCCATGAAGGGACCGATCTAAAGATGGCGGTGATCAGATGGCGGTCACCTATAGAGGTTTTATGCCATAATTGTACCATAATTTACGATATAATGATTGTAATTAATATTGGGGAAAATTTTTTAACGAGATTTGATTAATTTTTAAATTATATTTCTTATAAATATTCTCACATGTTAACTTAATTTTATATAATCTATTTTAAATAATAGTAGAGTATGCGCAAAGAAATTCATTACTAAAACGTTAATAGTTTTTTTTTTATTGGATAATTTCTTTTTTTCAGCAGAATTTTAGCCGGCTTAAAAGACAACTACTAAATTTTTTCAAGGGTAGAAAGCTAGCTATATATAGAAAATAATATATTACATCCCTTTAAATGAATGATAAATTTTATCAATATATAATAATTATCTTTTCTTCTAAAAATCAGTGTTACCCTCCAAACTCAATTTATATTTTCAACCCTTGACGGACATCACGAGTTGGGATAATAAATTCACCTTTTGGGACGATGTGTACGGTTTTAAAATGAGCTGTTTAAAGAAAATAAAGAGACGCGAAATCGATTTAGAGGTATTCAATAGCGCCGACGAAAAAGCCAAACTTTTAGCCGAGCCCACGATTGTTAAAGTTTAGTTTTTTTTTGGTTTCTTGGTTTTACAAACCGGTTTATGTAAATTGGTTCGGGAAGTGTCAAGAAGACGAGAAATACTGAATTAACTTAAGTGAGGGAGACGAAAAAGGAGTAATAAATGACATGGTAAGAAATAATTATTTTAAAAATTAAATCCATTTAATGATAGGTCTTATACAATTAGAACCAGGACGAACAATTCCTTTTAGAATTATATACGTCTTTATTCTGATGAACATAACTTTTAGACTGGAATCCAAAACGTTCTAACTGTTCATATGAACGTTTTTGGTTCTGGAATTTCCCGACATTTTTGAGAAATCGTTTTCCGGTTCAGGAGCGTTCTCTATCAAAGCATATGTAATTTTTTTAAATTATAAATCATTTTAACATCCAGTTTAAGGTATTTCTAGCAAGAAGATATAATAATTTTATATATTGTTGGTTGTTATTTATTTCTCCAGTATTTTATTCAATTATTGATGATTTTTTTTACTGAAATGTATATGAATTTTATGGCATGTATAAATTGAAAAAAACATAACTAAATATTTTTTAAAAATATAGGAGGTTTTGATTATCCACCTTTATTATTTGCACATTTGTTGCTAAATATATTCCTTCTATCTTCTATTTTTTTTGGTAGAAATAAAAGGTTTACAAATTATTAAAGAGCTACATTGCCTTAAGGCACGTCTGACTCTAAAATTTGTGTTAGAATACGACTGGTCAAGTTTGCACTAAGGCACTTTCGTTCTTACGTCCCGTCCACCCCATAAATCAGTCCCAAAATATTCCCTTCTTCAGAATGCGTTCTAAAGACGTCTCCATCTTAAAAGAAAAAAATTTGAACCGGGATGCACGAACCGTTCCTATTCACTTGTAGAGAAGTAATAGTATTGATAAATTAAATTTTAGCTTCTATCAAAAATCACACCCCATCTTCGTAGTTTTCTCCAAAAAAAATTAACTCTCCTCTCTAATATTTTGGCATGCGCTTGTAGATTGAGCTGAGTTAGTCCATACATAATATTAGGGACGAATCAAGTCATCACCTATTAATATGACGATTTTTTTTACACCTCAGTTGTATATTTATTAAATGATCCCCATTATTTGTTAAAACAGACTTTCGATATGTTAACAGCGACCACGGACATAGAGATAAAAGATTTTCCGTTCGCATTTGCTTTAAATGAATCGATTGTCGAAAATATGGTGACCTCGTTTATGCTTTACTTCGACGCTCAATTTTATCCCGATAACTATGGAATTTTAGAACCGGTTTCAAATATTATTAGATAAAGTTAACAGATTACATCCCTCTCACCTTTAAAAAAACACTCGTTTTTTTAAAATTTTATAATATTTTCTTGTGTGTGTTAGGTCGGAGGGATTGCCATTTCAATATAAATGACATAATTTTTTCTATTTTTATTTTTTTAAAAAAAATATTGTTTGTCTGTAAGTTATATATTAGAATCTATTAAAAAGATTTTAGTTAAGACTTAAACCGACTAACATTTTTTTTGGTCTGAATTTTTTTCGTCCATAAATTCATCTACTTATAATGCAGGTTACATTAAATTTATACAATGAGTCATCGGGATCTAGAAAATCCTGTCCGGAGAAGGAAATGTTTTCTTAGGCAAAATATTTATTTATGAGGAATGATTAATATATTCTATTACATAATAAGATACCACCTCTGAAAATATTTTTTTAAAGATGAAACTTAGATATAGGGAATTTATTTTGAAACTTGTTTTTTTATTTAGGTTTATTTTAGTACCGGACCTTTGCATCCGCCTACTCATTGGAAACAAACTTTATTGCACTTACCAGAAAAATACGATCTTAAAGGTTTGTAAATATTATAATTTAATAGATATAATACTTGTTATAACAAATTTTGAATTAATTTAAATCCTATAGTATAATTTATTTTCATTTGTTAGTAAATATTAAGCCTGTTTAAAAAACGATTTACTATTTGTATTGGTTTCGAATAATTTATTTTTGAAAAATAATATAATAATAATACATGCAAAAATATATTGACAGAATTTTTGTAAATTCATTTTATTGTACATATAATTTTAAATAGTAAAGGGATTATAATAATCTGACTATAATGAACACGTGATTAAATTATTAACTTAATTAAAATGTATATTAGTTTAATATATTTACTGTTTCTGTTTTTTTAGCAGTGAATCAGTTAAAACTAAAAACACCTTGTTAATCACATCACCTTTCATAATTGAAAGGCATCATTAAATTTTATTAAAAATAAATAATTATTCCAAAATCGAATGATTATAATTTATTTGAACAAAACGAATAAATACTACTATTCGATTCAAATTATTCGAAACAAATCGAATATTCAATTCGTCTTTTAATAGGCCTGGTAAATATTGATTAATATACTAAAATATTAATTTTTATAATATTTTTGTTGAATATTTGAACTTTTTTAAAAAATATATCTACTAGGGTTAATATTTTTATCTTACAGAATTTGGGGAAAATTAAATGACCTTATAGGTGATTCTGGTCTCAGAAAACGAATTCATAATATCCTAATTCTTTTCTTTCTCGATATAACATTTGCATGTTGTTTTGACTTTGAATGTAAAGTTGATTGAAAAATATTATTTTTGCGATTATTTACGAATAAAAAATATGAACGTTAAACTCTTTTATTAGTTCACTTTTTTTAAATTATAATTTATATATTTTTGATTACTTGTAATTATATATCAAATTATATAATTAAATAATAAATTTTATGCAAATTTAGATGCGGATAAAATAGAAGGCAAATTAAGCTTGACTCAAATACCACACAATAATAGAACATGGTGCATTGAAATTGATTTGGGACCTAACGAACATTATATTTTTGATCTATCTTAAAAACAATTATTGTTGAATTAAAGCATTTTATTATGCCTATTTAATGAATCAAATTCTTTAATAATATGTATATGAATTTTGATTGACTCAGAAATATTTTAACCATATTCATTTCATTACATCTCTAGCTTTAAGATACTTTTAAAATAAGGTTAAAGATGAATAAGAATACCTTCCTTTAGCTAAATTTAATATTTCATTCAATTCGTTCTTAAAATTAATTCAAAATATTAAAAAAAAATTTCTAAATATTTTTATATAACTATTTATGAGAAACCTGTTATCAGTATCTACTATTATCATTCAATATCTTAAAAAAAATGGCCATGCAAAATATATGTGGGATCTTTCGATAAGTTTCCTTGCAGCAATCCACATGTATTGTAGTTTTTTTGGATTATCAGCCAATGTGTTACATGAATCACAATTTTATACCTTGATATCATTGTACTAATAGCTGGCTAGTGATTTTACCTTGTTTGCTTCCATATATCCTTAATGTAACTCTCGCAACATTAATTTCCTCATATTGAATAGTACGATCACTTTGGACTAATTGTAATGGTAAGTTGATTAGTTAACCAGTATATTATTTTGAAATCGTATGCTTCCATAACAATTTAGTCTCATCAAGATCGAGGTGTTATCTTTAATAAACAGCGGTTTGCGATCTGTTATTATATATAACTTAATCCCGATGAGATTTTCCTGAAATCTTTTCATAGCAAAGATAATTAGTAAGGATTCTCTCACTATATTAGTTTAGTTGACCTGCCTTTAACAAAGACCTTGAAATAAAAGCACCTTCCTTGCTTAAATGGGCCTGCCGCCATAGCAATGGATAGGTCGGAGTGTAATGTTGGAAGGTTGACTGATGGGTAGTTTCAATTCTTTGAAATTTTTTTCGTTTGTTTCACATCTATATTTTTCTTTCTTAATAATTTTGTATAATAGGCCGACAAAGTTCTACAAAAATTTGCAGTTAGCTCGTCAAACCCAGTTAGTTCATCTTTGGAAGTTTCCTAGTGCATGTTCGTAATCGCTTTGATTTTATCCCTATTTGGATGTGTTCGGTCGGCATCTACCTGTCCTAACAATTTATCTTATAATTCATAAATTCGCCTTTGGTAAAATTTTTACCAAACTATGTGGTAGATTATCTCGAATAATCTATATTGTCAAAATGTGCTTCATCGTTATTACCGTTAATTAGTAAATCATTGATAAATAATGTCACATCTTTCAAATCGCTTTGATAAATGGAACATTAGATTGTTGAAGCGAAAGGTATCCCCCCTTCGTCAAAATAATTTAGAGGTTTCTAGAATCATGGTGTATCGAGATCAGCAGAAATTCCTGTTTGAAGTTAATCTTAGTACTTTTCCTTGAAAGTTTAGAGATTAGTTCGTTTATACTCGAGGGTTATTTAAACCCTTCGGGCAGGGTTTAAAATTTTAGCGAAGGTAGAACCATTATTTACATTTATTTATTTCTATAATTCATTACAATATATATCAGTTTTCATTGACATTTTATTCAGTTTATAATATAACCATAAGGTGCAATTTTAATTACAAATGGTGATATCTAACGAATAATTGTGTATATACATAATACATTAGGAAGTTAAACAACACCTATTATATTATTTGTAAATATATATTTATAATTATATCTAACTGACAAACATATCATATAATATGTAAATAAAATATTACAATAGATTACTACTTTACTACAAAAATGTCTAAAAGCGCATAATACCCTCGTTCTTGAACATACTGGCCCATCTGACTTCTTGGTTATATTTGTTCATGAAGTACTCATTTATTTCTTTAGTCATCATATCCACTTTGGAATAGGCTTCTGGGCGGGTTAATATTAGGCGTAGCGTCATATTTCAAATGTAACTTTATCAGAGTTTTCATACCTGATATATTTTTCAATTTTTTTTTACATCAACATTTTTGATATTTTATCGTCAACAGCGTTTCCTTAATTTTTGACTTTGTAAATAACATGACGCCAAATTCATCCTGCAAAATTTTTGTCACTGTTTATTATTGCTTCGAATACTCGAGTTTCCCCTATAACATTGGCTCATTTATGCTATATCAATGAAGTATTTTAGCTGATAATTTTAAGTTAGTTTTCTTATTGTTGTCCCTGCTGCCTTAGCTCTGCGTCGTGGAAGTATCGTGAATCTCATCCGATTTGCATCTCCGTGGTTACATTATTTACCAAATCCCGATCTACAATATTTATTTGGTTAAAATCTTAATCGGGTCGGGTCGTTTAGAAAAATCGGGCCTTTTAACAACCACTTTAATTAGTCGTCAACCTGAATAATGTTTACGTTGAAACTCTATAAATTATATTCTTTCGCTATATCTTTTTTATTTTTGTCTTCAATTTTCTCCATGCTAACGGTGTTTATTGTAAGTGAGCAAATATTTCTGTATTCTTTTGTTTTAATATTGATCGATGTAAGTCTGTGCTCTGTTGACTTTCCCATACTTTTGTTTATATGGCCTCTAGTTATTTAACTTGCGGTTGTTTCTTAAGTCAATTTGCCTAAAGCCGTTGTTTCTAAATTTATTATCTTATATATTATCTATTATACTCATCACTGTATCTTTGACCTTATCAATCGTTAGAGTACTGTTTAAATATGTTTTAAAAATATCTCTATCCTATGACTAGTAATAGAAAATATATACTAGACTAGATATGCTAATAAATGTATTCCATGAGGATGAATGATATATTTTCCATATGATTTTAAATTTAGGAATTTTTAAAATTCTTATAAACGAGTCATTTTTTTAATTGAATGCAAAGGTTGTTGTCTGAATCAAAAATAAATGTAGATGGTAACCGTAAAATTTCAGCATCATCTGATGAGGATGTTTATGATAATTATGATTTAAATGAATATCCTACTCATTTAAGTATTATGAATATTATAATCATGATTCATAAATATTTATACTAGGTAATAACAAATATAGTTCTGTTAGTGGCTCACATTATTTTGATGCAATATCACATAAATCATTTAAGGTAAATGGTTAAACTAGGATAATTTTTTAATAGCAAAGATTTTAAATATTGTTTTTTAAGCCAAATCATCATAGATTTACCATTATTAAACACTTCATTTATTATTATTTTTAAATAGTTTAATTTTTTATTAAATATTTTGCAACAAGCTTATATTATATAATTATATTTATAGTAAGGACATGTTATATTATATAACACAAAATATTTATATGATCTGTCAAATGAATATCTGACTACAGAAATTTTTTGATAATTAAATTTGATCTACATAATAAAATGTTTATTATTGTAGCATGTGCTTATTCTCAAAATAAATAATAGATTTTCAAAATAAATATATAAAATTATCAAAATATTTAAATGAAATTAAAAACATAATTAAACATGTATATAACCCCTATTTTTATTCATTCTGGGGAAAAAACACTAAAATAGATTCATTGGATTAACAGTTTTTTAGATTATTTACTCAAAATATTCTTTAGAAAATAATAATCTTTTAATATTATTTGACTAATTCCATATTTTATCTTATTAAAAAATTTTTAAAGAATAATCATGAACACTCAAAAATAGTTTCTATAAAATGAACAAATTTAATTTAAATTATTATATTTAAGTTAATATATTAAATAAATTTGATTTAAAAATATATTTCCATCAAAATATTGTTCGATTTATAATAAGACTGTAATTCATGACTTCAGAAATAATTTGTTTATTTAAAGAACAATTCATAATGATAATAAACATATATGCAAACAAAAATAATATTATTAATTAAAATTCTACAAATTCAACTATTTTTATAAAATACTTTTTCAGCAATATATTATTAATTAATAATAAATATGTATCTTATATTATAACTTATAATATAATTTATACAATTAATTATAATATTCTGATTTACTATATTTCCTTCCACTTAAAATGGGATGGTCATGTGAAATAATGATTAATCTTCTCCCACTGCTCTTTACTTATATTCCACAAATATAACAGCACTTCCTTGATTTCTGCCCTATTCTGTTGACAGTATATTCTAAAAATGGATTTCATCATATAAGGATAAACATTATTGTCATTGGTATCTCTAATTTGCCATTTTATTTGATAATGTCCTAATCTATTGAGAATTCGCTGCATCATTTGAAAAATCTGAGATTTTGCTTGTACTGTAATAGAAATAATCTAAGATATCACTGTCTTATACTGTATTATAGCCCATTCATGATCTATCAATGGCCTACAGTCTTTAGCTAGGCTCGATATTTGTCTTAATTCTTTTTGAAAATTTTCTATGGGCAATTGAATGTCCTAAATCTTAATTGATTGAATGTTGATAGAGTGTTTGGAATCATGATCAGTGTCTATGCCTGACACTGTAATCTCAATAACACCCCCACTAAACATTGTTATTTATTGGCCTATAACTCTATTTCATAATTATAGGCAGTCATTTTTTATGTTTACTAGGAAAATTACGCATTTCCCCAAAGATCGTTCTATAGATTTATAAGTTTTTGACAAGAATACGGTATTTAAACAAGAGTTTTAAAAGATTTGTCAACTTTATTAGGTTTCAACATAGAGAAATTAAGAATTTATCTCACCAAGGAGAAAATCGAGTATATCTTAGACTCTCCCACTCATATAAAGGACAAGATGGGAAATTGCACATTTAACTATCAGTAACATTTTTCTGGCAAGTCTTTATGGATTTGTCTCTCCGTTACATAGAATAGTAAGGATGAATAACCTTTGTGTCGAGACCCAAAGAAGATTGATAGAAATAAGAATGACCTCAGCAACGAGCTAGACACCATATACCTTATAATTAATTTTTATCTTAAAATGTAATGACTCAAGCTAGGATTTTGGGGCTATATTGATGCATGTAACTTAGAAACGAAACGAATAGCCTTCTCATCACGCGCGTTTTCTTCATTATTATCATAACTCCAGATTGCCGAAAAACATATCTATCACAAACATACATAGTGTTTAACAAAAATATTATTTTAAAATAAAATAATTATATCTCCGAACAGAATTTAACTGAATGCTCTCACACAAATATTTGCACAAAACAGCTTAATTTAAATAAAAAAATTCTAAATCGCGTATTTTAAATGCCAAAAAGTATTTTGCCAAATAATAGGGTTCGAATTTTATAAAAACAGGCTTGCATAGATACAAATTGCAACCAGCTATATGACCCGCTGCAAACCGACACCATTTAGCGCAGACTATAATATAAATTTATACAAAAAACTTAATTTTATCAAATTAAAATTGGAATTTTTATTATTACTAATTTTTTTTTTATAATCAATCATCCACATTATTTTAAATGGGCAAAATTTACTGTCTAATGGTTGCAGATCGCCGATTGGAAGTAAATCGCAGAATATTTTAGAAAGTAATCTGGGACTGAGTCTGATAAAAACTTTGAGGATTAATAATTTTCTCGCATATTAAGAATTTATAATGTTTCATTCATCAATTATATGGTCATAATAATATAATATTTTATAACGAGTATTTTTTGACATCCTTTTTAGGACTGTCAAAGTGATCATCCATTTTTTTGATTAAATCACATTTTTTTTATAAATTTGAATAAAGTTTTATAATATCATTTAAAAAAAAATAAGCCCCGAGATAAAATCATAAATTAAACACATTAATTTTTATAACGTAACATGTTTTTCTGTAAAATTTCAAAGACTTTTCTACCAATCAGCTTTTTGTATCGATAAAAAAAATTAGAAGAAATTAATAACTACAGAAAAGACAATGGTTATTCCTACCAGAGTTGTTAAAGTAGCCGGTTATCTTTTTTGGTAGCGATAGCTAATAGCGCGCTCCCATTTTTTAAGTATCGAAAAATATCTATCTCCTGGTTGGTACAACAATTTTTTGTCGCTAGACACTAATGATTAGGATATCAGATAACTTTGATGTGATGAAGATGTTATAATCGATGATGTTAAAGATCAACGTGATAGGCTTATGGTAAATCTGAATCTACCACACAACGATGCTTAGTTAGATTAGAACCACAAAAACGACTTCCACTGATAATTTTTTTGAAATAAATGATACTAATATAATTGAAAATCCTCTAGAGGCATTTTATAAATCTAAAAATACTCAAATGAGTATTTTTACAATTTTTCTTATATTAAAAATATGTAATAAATTTTTTTAATCGCGCGCTACTTTGGTATCGATAGCGGTAGCGCGCTACTTTTAAAAGTAGGGTTTAACAACTCTGATCCCAATTTTTTTTTCAATATAAATTTATATTGATTTAATAAACCTATATTAGAAAATTTTAGGCTCAAGTTTATTTAAAAAAATTGACCTTTACCTTTTATGACTATACTATGATACCAAGGTCTCTAACATAATTTATGATTAATCTTCATTTTTATCTGGTTTTCCCAATTAGGAAGGGTGCCATTATTTTTGGATTTGAACTCGCCGTTACGGAACAAAGTTTCATTAATGGCCCTTTTTTAAAATCGATTTGTCATGGAATGGCCTTTTACCGGAAATGCATTCTAGCATGTTGAGACCCTATAGGATTCTATATAATTTTGACTTTAATTTTTGGGCCATTTAAAATTTATATAAAAAATCCATGGAAAAACTACATATATAACTTATAAACAAAAAAAGAGAATTACAAAATTTTACCAACTGGCATAATTACCCATTTCGTATAAATCAAATTTTCTTTTAGATACTAACTGGTGAAAAAAAAATAATTGGTTTAGATCGTGATGCACTATGTAAGCATTTAAAAAGAAAAGATACCTTCTTTTTTAATGTGTCCTTGGTAATTAATTATCTTCAATTAATTTTCTTTTTTATATATAATATTTTTTTTGAAAAACAAATATAAGGTCGAGTAAAATGTATAGGTTTTAAATTATCCACATTTGCTCAGATCTAACACAAAATAATTTAAGATATAAAGAATGATCCTGATCTAAAACCTTAATGTTTGGTATTTCGGTGACAGTTAATGACCCTAATTTTTAAACCATACAAAAAATGCGAAATTATTCCAATACACATTCTTCCTTACATTCTCGCCCTATTTGCATATATATAATTAAAGAAGAAATTCGTGTTCAGAGAGGGAGGGGTACCATCGGCAAATATACTCCATTTTATATTCTTTTTATAGCCATTGTCTTGAGGGGGTTAGAGGTTAACTGGACGCCACCCTTAACACTGTAAATTGTCGTCATCCCAGACTGAACTTAATTATACCAAAGGGCCAAAAAGAGCCATCATATTGCTTCCTTAGAACCTATATGTCTTGACATGCGGATGAAAAAAGACCCGATGGTTTGACATTAGGGCCTTAGAGGGTCTAACCAGTCTTATTAAATTAAACGTGCAGTGCATATCATAAATGTTCCAAAACGGCTTTTCAGTTGCAATAATCGAGAAAAGGAGCAAACGTTTTAACCCTAAAAAATATTAGTTTTATTCATGAGGTAATCTCAAACTCTGGATAATTTTGGTGACGAAGTGTTTTTCTGTCAAAAAAAAGATGGGAAATAAAATCTCTACCCTTCTGAGAGATCACAAATAATTCTTCCATCCTCGCTAAAAATATCAAATCAAAAATTTTCATTTTTAATTATTTATCCCAAATCGCAAGTTGGATAATAAAATTTAATTAGTTTTTTTTACCAGTCTATTTATTAGTGTTATTTTTTATTTATAGTTAATTATATAATTATTAATATATATTTTTTGAAATCGATTTAAATAAAATACATAAAAAAAATTAATCTCTTTTTTTCTAAAAATAATATTGAATTGAAAATTTTATAATTTTAATTATAATAATTATTCACTTCATCAAATATTATCGTCTGCGTCTTTAATGGATGTTATTTCTAAGAAGAAATTTTTAAAATTAGAAGCTTGCCGATTAATTATTAGTGATTATTAATTATAATATAGTAAACTATATATATATATACACATTATTTTAAGAGTCATGGAATAGCTCTTATTATCTTTACTTAAGGTGATAGCTGACATCTGCAAATTTTAAATCGTCAATTATTATTCAAATTTAAGTTACTGATAATTTTGTCGTTTTTAGGGAATATTATAGCAGTTGAGTTACAATAACCACTAAAAACTTGTAACCTAATATAAAATAAATTACTACTCGAATTTTAGTTAATATCTTTATTTTAATATATTACCAATCAATATTTTTTTTCTCTTCAAATTTATAAAATCTTTCCTATCAACATCAGTTTAAAACTACTATGTACTAACAAGTATTAATTATTACCCGATTTTAAAATATTACTTTAAAATAGAGATTTACAAATAGCATTTTTTTTCTTCAAAATTCTTAAGTTCTTCTCACATGACCTTCCATCTCTAATTTAGGGAAGAATGATTTTAGATTTATTTTTGCCAAATTTGATACGATAACCTTAATTCCGACACCATTTGATTTCGATACTGCCAATAGAGGTTGCAAGGCTTGGGTTCGGACATTGAAAAGGACTCGGGTCGAGCTGTAAGATGGGTCCGACCCGACAAATAAATATTAAAAATACAAATACCTTTAATATTGCAAATGAATAAAAAACCGTGGTCCGATCCAAGTGCATCTTACGGCTCCGACTAAAGACTCGACCGTGTTCACTAAAATTGGGGGATCGAAAGTACCGCGTCTCACCTTTAGCGGCAATTTCGATTATTGTACATATCTAATTTTATCAAGACTTATATTTGGATAATTATTCTATTTTTTAGTCGATTAAAAAAACGGAGAAATCCAATTTTTAACCAAAAACGGTCACCTTTACCTTAGGATTTTTTTTTGTTAAAATATAGCTCAAATTTGAAAAAAAAACAGAAATGAATAAATTAAATCGCACCTCTATGTTCATCGGTCTTTCTTCGACGCGTAGATTAAGCCGATTTTTAGCCATTTCCCAACTATATTGGACCTCATAAAAGATTTCTTTTTGTTTGTGATTGGTCACTTTCAAAGAGTTAGCCATATTTATTTTAAATGACATTATTTTACATTATGAGACTGGATGCTACTTCCTTTTTCCGCTATAATTTTTTGTTTTTTAAATAAAAATTAAGCCGATTCGCACCCCGGGCAATTATATGGACGACAACAAAAGAAAGATCGACTATATCCTCGTTTACAAGGAACCCCTTATCTACGATGACGAAGAGATTAAGAAAGAACATAGGAGGTTGATTTTCGAGAAAAATTTGGTCAAAGAGGGCTTGCAGCTTGAGAAAACCGATGCTAGGGTAAATGGATTCAGAATCGCTTCGCGTCTAACCTCTATTTGATCATTTATATATATTATTTTTTAAGGGATTTGAAATGTCGGTCTTAGATCTGAAACCGGAACCGTTGAGGTTTCGGGCTGCATCAAAGATCGATCCTCTTTACACCCGCGGATTTTTAAATTATAAAAATTGAGATTTGTGTTATTCTCTCAATTAGATTTCCGAGAACAAGATAGTTTCATTTACGTAACGAATCGAATAATATATTTTTTTTTAAAAAAAATATTTATTTGATTTAGGAAAATTCCCAAGGATTAATTTATCTCAAAATTCACGCGCCGTTCGAAGTTCTTTGCAAATACGCTCAACTCATGAACATCAAGATGCCTATCAAAGTATACTACAAATATAATTATTTCCTTTTGAAATGATTAATTAAGCCAGTTATTAGAGATACGCCTATGACACTTTTTTTGCCGATACAGATACTGCTGAGTATCGGGTTGATACAACAGATACCTGGCGCAAATTTTGTTAATAAAAAACCTCGACGGATTTTAGTCAAACATATATTACTTTAAGTCTCGAGATTTCTACAAAAGGAGAATTAAAACATTCTGCCATGTTTTGGGGAAAATTTTGAGGGTTAGGTAATTGTATGAGTCAGAATTCAGATGTAACGCTTGAGGGGGCAATTTTTTTAAAAAATAATAAAAGTAAAAATTGGCCTATCTAACAAAATTTTTATGATTAAATTAATCAAAATATTTAGTGCTATTTTTAAAAGAAAGCATCGTCATCTGAGTATTATAGTGATCTTTATCCATTTTTTAAAATTGTTCAGGAGATTAATCAAGATAAACCGATTTCTTGTATTTTAAATAGGAAATCACGATGTAATAATCATTTTTACTGTGGGTATAAAGAATATTATACTGAATTCATTTATCAAAAATGTGGATATAGAACATTATGATACACAGCCTACGATATGTAGATATTTTTTTTTGTAATATTAAATTGCGTGGAAAAATTATTCAAACCAACTTTTACAAGGTTGAAATACTCTGGTATCGGTAAAAAAAATGAAACATATTGGCAACTATCAATACCGCGAGTAATGGCTCAGTACAAATTGAGCGGAAGCGTTTAGCGTTATTCTCCAAAAAAAATGGTTGCGTTATTTAATGCAAAAAAAAACGTTTACCAATTCGCGCGTTATTATTTAAAATATAATATTTGAGATAAAACGTTAAACGTAAACGCTTTCAATTTGAAAGCGCTTGATATTCATTTTATATAATATGCAATAAACTACGTTCCATCTTTCTGTCACTAATTTGATTTAAGCACGTCAAGTATTCAACGGACGAACTGAACTCCATGTCAAAAATTTACGATGTTTACACTCGACAAGTGCCGCAATCCTTTATTTTACATTTAAATGATAAAATATTTCCCTAATTTTTGAATAATAATTAAATCAAATTATAACCAACTTGTTTCTTTGTAATAAACATATTTGTTTATTGCGTTGTAATTAATTGTTGTTTATTACCCTAACTTTGGCTCATATACGGGATAGCCAAGCCTTTAGCCAAAAATTAAAAACCTACCTGAAACCTCTAGTTCGAGTCAACAACTTGAGTTGAGACCATTTTAGCAGGATAAAACATTTGGTCTTTTTGGAGTTGGCAAAAGTTATGTGATATTTAATAACACTAATTGTTGGCTTTTAACTTTAATATAAAAAAATGTTGTAAAAAATAAAATGTATATAAACTTTTTTTTAAAATTCAAACAATTCTTTCTCCTCTTCCGGTTGTCGCTGTAATGTGCTAATTAATTTTTTTATTTATTTTATAATTTAACGGAAATATTCATTATTTTATATACAGACCACTTTACTAAAGCGATTACATTTTGGTCAACTTAGAGTGTGTCCAAAACATCGAAAAATTAAATTCGCAAACTTTGGAAACTTTGATGGAAAATAATATAAATTAGCTATTTTAAATATAAAAATAAAAAAGATATCCAAAAGATAAATTCTAGGAAAATTTTATAAATTTCAAAGATTTAACTTACGATTTTAATCTAAAATTTTTAAAATTTGCCGAAGTTTTGAAACTTTTCGAATATTTATAAAAATGATTTTGGACACCGCCTTAAGAGTGATAATTAATTTAGTATTAGTATTATTGTATGTTACATTTAATTCGACCAAATAAGTCAAAATCGGCCAATACTTGTATTGACCGATTAATATCTAAAGTTAATGACGCTTATTACCCAGTATATCAATTAAAAATTACCTAGAATTTAATGACCAAATTATCTAGGAAATTTTTAAGATAGCTATTCACCGAATATATTCTTTAGATTTTTGACATAACGCGTTTTTTTTTAATTTTAAATCATCTGATTTTTCTCAGGAAATATATTCCAGTATGTAGAATAGAACATATCTATATTTCAGAATTTTTTTGAATTGACAGATTACCCATCTTTCGTTGTAATATGATTCGAGCTAAGTGGGGTCAAGAGATAAGGAGTTGCTCATCATGAATAGATCGTCAAATTTAGAGGCTTTACTTCAAAGCCGAGAATAATTCTTTTGTTATTTGGCTATTTAACCATGAACTGTAAAAAACCCACGATGTATACATAATTAAGAGACTGGTGAACCTGATCCAGTTCATGAATCCTGCTCTGATCCGGCCCTTAAATGGTGCGATTTTTGAGATTTGGACCAGACCCTTAAAGTTCATAATAAAATAAGCCCAGTGGGGAAGGGTGGGATTTTTTAAAAAAAATGAATTTAAATTATATCAAGTCAACAAACAGTTGAAAAATTACGTCATGAATCATTTTACATATTCAAGCCGAATCCTACTAAAACATTGGCTTCTTTTTACACCTTAAAAGTGATCTTAAAATAGGAAATATATAGGAATCGATTGAACCAGCCGGATATTTTGGTTCCTGCACTCATTTAACATCCGGCATTGGTCCAATATCTGTCACCTTGCTAATATAGTTTATTAAAACATTACTCTAGAAATCCATTAAAAAAAAACTGAAAAAATTTTCAGAGTTCTATAATATAATATACCTATCATGTTCCAAAATGTAGTATAAAATGTTTTATATCATAATATCTTAGAAAGCTAGCATATCATTATAACTTAAAAACTTTCGACCCTTAACAAAGCTTATAAATTTTCACAAGATTTATTTATAAAGCTATAAATTTCCCATTTTACTAAATAAAATATGATATAAGCGCTGGCTTTCCAATTTAGATGTGATTATATTTATAACAATATATATACTTAATATCATTTATTCTTCTTTCCTTTTTTTTTATAGGAAGATAACTTTCTAATTCAAGTTAGCAAATTCTGGAAATATTTCCATAACCCATTCGCCTTATCCAAAAAATACAAACCCAAGGAAATGCATTATTTTACCTGTGTTTTTAATCAAGCCTACATGGACAGGTTCTAGCACTACATGATTCATGATTTAATATATTAGATTTTAAAATATCCCATTTCTTCCTCGCGGAAGAAAGAAAATGTCTTGAAACTAAGAATCTTCCTGTAATTTAGGGATTATTGAATTTTAATTAGACATGATGAGAATTCATAAATGTTGAATTTTCTTCAGATCTTGGCTGCGCCATAGCTCGAATATATATTTTTAATCAGCATGGACCCCATTTTTTTTGGTTTTTTTTTTAAAAAATGATAGATTTCGACATAAGAGAATATTAGTACCAAAATAATACATAATGCATTATTATTTTTTTAAATCTAAAAATTGAATTCTATTCAAACATCTGTTTAGAATTCTAAAAAGAGAGAAAAAAAAGGACGAGCTAAGGACGCGGCCTTAAAGTTATAGAGAAGAAATTTTTTTTAAAAAAGGTCAAAGTTATATAAACCCTAAAAAAAATGATTTTATCAAAATGAAATATATCAATAGAACGTTCGATTCATTATAGGAGTCGGTGTATTTTTGTGTAATCACGTGATAAATAATAATTGCCCAATCATAAAAATTTATAATTGTTAGTTAATCCGTTTGGTTTTTTTTTCTTCAAATTTTATTTGCGAATAAAATTATTTAAATCGTTAAAATTTACATAGATTCTATAACTGTAATATTTTACACCATTTGGACACCCCCCCCCACCCTCCCCCATACATGGTTTTTTAAAATATAATTTATTATATGAACTTTTTACCAATTTTTTTTTAAAAAATATATATTTATATTAAATCTAGATTTTTGATCGAAGATAAGGAAACATTTTTTGACAATGCCAAGAGGAGTAGAATCGTTCACGAAATGTTATCACGTTGCAAATTCGATATGCAAGCCGGAAAATTTGGTATTAATAAATATACTTTATACTTGTATAAATATGAACGTTTGATACAAAAAAAAATTATTACATATAAATGGAATTAATTGAGTTATCTGAACAATAAAACTTCAAATAATTTATTTTAAAGAGATAACCCATAAATTATAATGTTTTAAATTTAACCCCCCCCCCCTCCCCCCAATATTATAACTAGTTGTTTATTTTGGTGTTCAACTATAGTAAATATTTCAGGTTAGGCCTTATATTTAAAAATTACGTGCAGATTTAAAAAAAAAACCAGGTTAGGCCACACAACTTTATTATAGAAATGAAACAGGGCCGGACCTGGCAACCTTGTTAATTGAAATCAAGCGCTGGGCAAAGACTAAGTTCTCATCGCGCGGGGCCTGAGAATTTTGTCATTTGTAGACCACCGATATTGATTTAAATAAACTTATTTTAGATTCAATAAAAATTGAGAAATTTAATAAATTAAATAACTTAAATATAATATAAAATTTATTCAAAATGTTTAAAGTAAAGAAAAAAAAGAATATTAGTTTTAAAATAGTCAGCTCCAAGTTTCCTAACCTTAGCTGAAGTAACGTCGTGCCGCCATCATATTATATTATAAAACCTCAGGGAACAAGAGTTAAACTTACACCTAACCGATCTATGGTTTTGAAAAATTGAAACTAAATGTTAAAGATGTATTAAAGGTCGAATATGATACTTTTTCTGCTAAGTAAAATGCTATTTTAAGTCATATTGGTATCAATGACGTGCATAATACTTGATTAGCTATTCATTCATTTAATGCATTTGAAAGTGTCCATACATAGGAGTTTGCTATAACGCCATTTTGTAATCTGCACGTATATTAGATGAATAATATATGATAAATAAGACAAGTAATGGACGTGCAGACCTTAAAATATACGCTACATCTGACTTCTATATATGGGAAGGTTTAATTAATGAATCGCTAATCTATTAATATATATACATCATTGATTGGGATAGGGAATCCATTGGAGTTAAGAATCTCTGAATTCCAAATAATTTACTGAGGGGGGGGGGAATTTTTAAATTTAAAAGTCAGATTTGAACGATGTATGCCGACATATCATACAAACATTTTTCCTAGAAAATCTCCATCTCACATGAATCCACTAAATACTATTTAAAAAATAAATAAATATAGGTTTAAACAAACTAATATCCAGCGACACGTATATTAGTTCCTTTCCTTTGCACGATGGCCCATTTTTGGAACATCAATCAGATGCTATGGAGGATCGGTCTACCAATAATCATCACCTTCCTAAAAATGATAGACAGGTATTTAAAACTCCTTTTACTTTTTTTTGCCTGTTCCCATTTTGTAACTACCTAAAGCTCATCTTCTTGGTAGATTATCCCCCCCCCCCAACTTATTCACATTATCTAATCATTCATCTGACTATATTTTTAGAAAGTATCTTAGCTAGTATGATAAAACCTATCAAGTAGAAATTTTAGGGAATATCTTATCTAGTAATTGAGCTAATTCTCAATTCAAAAAAGTTATGAATCATTTGTTAGGGATTATTTAGTCTGATATTTAAAAAAATTATAAGTCAGGGTACATCTTATTTTTAAACAGTTGCGAATTCGCGCTAAATGTGAATGTAGGATTTCGAGGAAGTCATATAAGTTGTTAATGCAGGGAAACACCCTCAAAAGAAATAGGCTATTTAGATTTACGCGAATGATAACTATAATTTGTTTTATATTTACAGAAAGAATAATATAAATAACAAATAATATTTATTCAATGTATATACACCTAAAACAGACCAAAATAGAATGACCTATTCAAAATCTTCTTTAGCCTGAGGTAAATAGGAAATAAGTTTCATAAATAAGGTAAACCAGTACACGGCCTAAATATATTTTTCTTCTTCTTTTTAAAAAAATATTTATTTCAAAATGGGGATCATTTCATATATTAATGCATGCTTAAACAAAAATTGGATAAAATTTTAAGATATTGTACGAAATTTGGACGAAACCAAAAATGTTTTACAAAGAACAGCCGATCGGTTTGGTAAGGTAAATTAAATTTATTTTTTAAAAAAAACTCATTTTCCGACTTGATATCCTATTATTAGAGACCTGCAGGTCTGGACCGCAAAATAACGTTGGATTTAAGAATCCTGAGCAGGGCCTAATTTATAAATCCAGGGCGGGGTCAAATTTTTTAAAATAAATGCACCTATTTGGTTTCCAAAAATGAGATTCATTATTTCTTGCCTACGGCATCATAGTCTAATTTATTATTTATTTTGTTTTTCAAAGAATCGCAGGCTAATAATTAAAATTATTTTGGCTATGAGTTACATTTTAAAAAAATAGTATTTTGAAGGTATTATTTGCAATGGCGTGATTATATCTTATTATCTGATCATTTGGGCGCATGCTCAGAATATATTTTTATTTATATTTGTGGCTCAAAAAAGAGCTTTTCGCTTCAATTAGTAAATTTTTTTTAGGATTTGGGGAAAAACATGGCAAACAGCCATTAAAGGCGAACATAAGAATAAGAAAGGAGTGCTGAAAGCGCCATTTGTCTCTCATTCTAGCCACACATCTATTATAATTGTGTTGCCCATAATTGAATTAATATAAATCAGGAAATATTTCGGCGAGAAAATAGCCATATATTTTGCCTGGCTCGGATTTTACACCACGATGCTCATACCAGCTGCCCTCGTTGGCGTCTTGTGTTTCTTTTACGGACTATTAACCATCGATAATTACATTCCCACGTAAGTTTATAAAAACTATCTCTCATCATTCATTATTAATAATGTTTTTTTAATTAAAAAATTGCTTTTTTCAATTTTATTATAATTTAAAATCTTTCACAAATCATATATATAATATATATTTAAAACAAGTTATTGGAAACTCGAATAATTTTTGCGAAATACAGCGATTTAAATTGTTAAAATATTTTTTAAAAAAGAATCTCATTTTCCCTTTTAATTAAATTTCCTCTAAAAATTTTTTATAGAAATTGAAAATTTGAGGACATAAGAACCCATTTGTTGAAATAAAAATTTAAGAGATTATTATATTAAATTGAATAAGAAATATTTGGTTCAATTCATAAGTCCGATTTTTAACGATAGATTTTTAGTTTTAGGATTCTGCACATTTTACATGATTATGATTAAAAAGTGTATTTTTTTAAATTTTCATCTGTATTTAGATAAATTTGAAAAGTATCTTTTAATAACTCTGAATTTTACACAATTTCGCCAATTAAAAAAACTGATGTATGAGAATATATAATATATATATTTTAAAATATTTATTATTTAATATAGTATTTATATATTTATTTTTCCAAAAGTGAAGAACTCTGCGACAAGAACGGAGTCGGTAATTTAACGATGTGCCCATTATGCGATGAATTGTGTACTTTTTGGAAACTTTCTGATTCCTGCCTTTATTCCAAAGTTTTAAAAATATTGAAAAAATTAATCTAAAAAATAACCAAATAAAGAAAGAAAGGAAAACAATGAATATTTCTTTTTAAATTTAATATATTCATTTATTATTGTTTAGCTTACGTATTTGTTCGATAATCCGGCTACTATCGCGTTTGCAATCTTCATGTCTTTTTGGTGTAAGGGCGTTTAAAAATCATTTTAATTAACGCATTATATCTAGAGTTTGAAAAAAAATTTTACAGATTTTTTCGACCAAATTTTTGAGCAACAAATCTCTGAAGATCATAAAATGGAAGAATTTTTTTAAAGAATTTGTGATTTCAGAAAAAAATTTTATGCAAGGCTTGGAATTTTAGATAAAATTTTATCAAAAATCTTTGAAATTTTTATTTATTTTTGAGCAAATGTTAAACGCTGATTATATCTATTGGTAATTGCTTTATTTTTCAGCAGGCCTACTAAAACAAAACCACTCAATCTTTTAAGGTTTTTGTTTTGAAAATATGGCTTAACTCCGATAATGGGAGACATTGCTCACAGTCTAATAATAATCTTTTTACATGTATTAAGGAACCTTTGGGTTACTCATTTGCAGGCTTCATCCTATATTTTGAAGAAGAAGAAAAAAAATCATGTTCAAATTGGGTGGGATTTTATATTTTCTTACGATCTGGATTCTTAAATAAAAATTATTCTAATATGTGATATAAAATTTACTTAGCTACACTTTTCCTTGAACTATGGAAACGCAAGCAAAACGAATTGGCGTGGGACTGGGATACGAAGGATTTCGAGGAGGAGGAAATAGTTCGGCCGGAATACGAAACTCAAGTTAAAACGCTCAGGAAAAATCCTATCACAAACACCCTGGAGCCATATCTCCCACTTTACAGCAAAGCCCTAAGACTTATGGGAGCCGCTATCACCGTCTTAACTTTTGTAAGATTTTGATAACGCACTAGGATTAAAATTTTATAATAAAATAAATAAAGAAAGAAAAGGGGCATCGATTGAATTGATAATTTGTTTAAAAAAATTGTCTAAATGTTTAATCTATATTATCCAAATAGTTAGTAGTGGTGATCGGAGTGGTTTTCGGCATAATTCTATACAAACTCTCCATCGTTTCGGTGCTACATTCTCAAGGCGACAAAATTATTAGTCAAAACGCAAAATTAACCACAAATATTTCGTCGGCTATTCTCAACCTCTTGGCCATTCTTTTGCTCAATAAAGTTTGTAATATTATATAATGCACATACATACACATTACACATACATTATATACACTGCTAAAATCTTTTCAGTTTTATCTTAAAATCACCCGAACCACCTTAGGTTATAAAACTATGAGTTGTTTAATTTAAAAAAGAACATTTTATTTTTATTTTATAACTTTATAAACATGTGAGATGTGACATTTTGAAATAGAAAAAACAATCGAATTCTCGAAAATTTGATATCATCATTCAAGACGAAAGCTCTAAGAATGTTTAATAAATCTCTTTGTCGACTTATGAGGTTGAAATTTTTTTCAGTTCAGTTTATATTAAATTTTAGCCGATGAAACTATATATTACATATTTAATCATATTGAATAATGTAAAATGTATGTTAAAAAAAATCAATAGGTTTACTCAAAAATAGCAACCATTTTGACGGACTTAGGTATAAATTATTTTTATGGTTGTAATTATGGGGTTTGTTTCTTTTCTCTAAAAAAAAACTTAACTTCGATAATAATAAATCTCTTTGTCGACTTATAAAGTTGAGTCTTTTTTTAGTTCAATTTATTAAATTTTAACCGATGAAATTATATATTACATATTTAATCATTGTAATGTAAAACAGGAACCCAAACCTTTATTTATGACGGTTCAGTTTTGTTATTATTCAGTATTTATAAATTCATAATGGTTACAGTTCTTAAGATGAAATTTATAAAGGTTCGGTTTAGCTAGTAAAGGTTTATAAACGTTCATTGCGGTTATTTAAAAAAAATTTAAATTATTTTTATTGAACAATAAGATCGTATATGATTTTAATTATGAATATTATTATTTACTACAATTTTTGCCATCACTTAAGCTTAATATATTGTTTATTCATTTTTATTATAAATAATACATAAAAGTATATAAAAAAGAATTCATTAGTGTGTTTTTATCCATTTTAACCCTAGCATAGAATTTAATGACGGCTCAACAGAAATATTATGGCTAGATTTCGATATTGATGATAATAGATTGGGAGAGCTTTGATTTTTAAATAGTTAGGGATTTGTGTTCTTTAGAATGATGCCTTTGAATATGCCCTTCCAAAATTAGTTTCATGGTCATAAATATCATTTTGCATTTATCTATATTACAGACTGATTCAATTAAGAGAGAATATTATAAGTTAAAAAAGGAACGGACTGGGTTAACACTGATGTGGACCATTTAAAGGTTTTATAAAGGAAAATAAAATAAATTTTAATATATTATCAACATAAATACAAAAAAAATATGAGGTCAGAGCAAAATATTCTAAGATTTTGATATTTATAAACTAATTAGAATTTATTAGTTTAAAAATTTACAATTCTTCACATCTAGGAAATAATATAAAAAACAGAAGAACTTTGCTAATACTTGCACTTTAAGACAACACAAAATATATTTTTCATAATAAAGACTATAACATACTAATGCTTTAAAATAAACACAAATGCCAAAATTCTATAAATTATATATAAAATTAAAACCTTATAAATTTCTCTTTTTGAAATTTATATGGGAAAAATGACCCTTCTATCAAACTACTGATGGGTAAATGATGATACTGGAATATTAAAATAGAAAAAATAGCTCTTAGAAGCAGTTAAAAGAGTATGAAAATTAATACATACTTTTTATGGATATTAAACAAATATTTTGATAATTATAAAATTGATACCTTAAAACGATGCGGATATAATAAACTATGTAATACCACAAATAAATAAACAATTGTAAAATGATTGATTTTATTTTGGTTGAAACCGGTTGAAACCGGTTTCATCTCATTTATAAATGATGTTTACAGCGGTTTAGCTGTTTATTTCGGGTGCATGATGTAAAATATATGTTAAAAATAAATAGGTTCACTCAATAATTAGCAACCAATTTAACGGATTTAGGAATTTACATTTTATTATATTTGCCTATTCATCATTTATATCTATAATATTTTTAGTTATATTGCTTTGGTTACCTTTAAAACTTGTTTTTCAAAAGCTTTAAAACTTTAAGTAGACCTAATTGATAAAATTTACAAAATTTTACAAATATTGTTAGAGCCATATTTTTATTTTTCTATTTAAAAAAAAACCTTGGCAGGTTAAGTGTGATCATTACTGTTTTGAGTTAAATATGAGATATTATTTCCATCCTCGAGACCTAGCCTATCTCGAGTAGGGTCTAATATATTTTTTATCCAGCCCGGGTGATCGGGCCGGGCCGGGCCAATTAAATTTTTTTAATTATTATTAATTTTACCTTCAGAATGTCCCAGAACTAGGACGGATTACGAAGACAGTTATACCCTTAAAATGTTTCTCTTCCAATTCGTCAACTATTATTCGTCTCTCATATACATCGCTTTCTTCAAAGGAAGGTAAAATTTTATTTATTTTTTTTTTCCAGGAAAACTTTTGTATTAGGGCCCAACTATGTAATATGACTTAAATGGAATATATTAGCGACGACCGGCTAACCCCGGGGTAATCGAGATTTTTCCGGGTTAAAAGGCCCGGACCTTCGCGAAAATGATTTATAAGGGAAAAAATAATGATTAACTTTCTAAGTTTAAATTTTTTTCGATTATTAAATTCTGACCGGGCTCTTAAATTTATTTTTCACGAGTTCAAACAGTCATCGTATAAGTCATTCGAATACTCCCCTTAATAATTCTAGTTAGAATCACACATGCGAAATTATTTAATGGATGCTGACTAAGTGTTGACTAATAGATTATCCGGAAATTTAAATATAGGCAATTTATCCTACCCCACTCCCGTCCCGGAGTTTGAGGGCCTTTGGGTATATAAAATATTGTATTACTGGCCCAAAATTTTAATAAATTCGTTTACAATTTCGATCTTATTTTTTTTTTAAAGGATAATTTTGACTTGTCAATCCATTTTATATTATGAATTTTTGTTTTTTATTTACTACATTTTATATTATTGAATTTTCGTTTCTTTTATTTACTATATTTCTAAGACCTCACAAACATAAAACAAATAAGAATATGGATAAAATTTCGCGGAATATGATCAAAAAAAATTTCTTCTAATAAATTTTATTAAAATATTTTGTGGATCGATGCCCCTCCCCCTCCCCTCACTTTATACGTAATTTCCTTACCCCGAGCCTAACTGATACCAATATTAATAAACTTGTTAAAAATTCAAATTTTGGTACTGTACTCATAATTAAAATAATTTCCTTTTAAATTATGTTACATTTTGTTTGATTTTTTTTTATAGTTGTATTTTCTTCTTTTCCTTTACTAAAACAAAAATTTAATATTTCGAATATAGATATTCTGGAGATCCCGCTGGAGGAGGCAAGATTTTTGGCTTTAAGTTAGAACCGGTATAATTCATTTTTTGAAAAAAAAATTTCTCTCACCTTAATTATATTGTTTATTAATAAATAAGCCTTGTTTTGATCAGTTTTTAGGTGTAAATTTATTAGCTAATATTTCATGGTCGATATTTTTTTTAAAAAAAAAATAAGGAAAGAAATAAAAATCAAACAGATTTAAAGAATGGGGAAATGTAATTTTTTTAATATATCAATCATTTTGGAATATATTTGTACGTCAATGGTTCGATTTTTTATATTTATTTCTATGATTTACTATATTCTCGCAAGATAATACTAATAAAAAGCTAGAACCTGAGTGGTAAGTATTATGGGAGATTAGATTTCCCTCTCTTTAATTGCATCTCTCATTTATTTTTGTTGATGAAAGTTTAGAACAAGGTGGCGAAAGAAACATAACTGATAAAACTGAAGTTTATTTGGGGAAATTTAAACACAAATCTAGTAATTATATATATATAATATATTTTATTTTTAACATTTTTTTGCGAATTTATTTAAAAAATATACATTTATCGTTGAAATGATCAAATTTAGTGCGAACCTGCAGGTTGCATGGCCGAACTTTTCATCCAATTCGTAGTCATTATGATTGGGAAGCAAACATTGAACAATATTCAGGAATTATTTTTTCCGTAAAATCATTAGAAAATTTTATTCTATTGATAATTTTGTTTTCTCTTATAGGACTAATTAATAATTATAAAGATTATACTCTTATTTTTTTTACAATTTAATATTACGAATAAACGAAATTTAAGTAATTGTAATGGTTAAAAATTTTTATATTCGATGAATATGAATGAATGCTACCAGCTGGTTATCATAAGATTTCTAAATCTAATCCCATTTCCGCTAATCTTTCAAAAAAGCAATTTTGAAAAACATTCTTAAGATGAAAAGAGGAATAAAAATTTGGAAACGCTAGCATTTTTTTCTATAAAATTATATGTTATTTAAGCGAGATTTCTGGGTTACAGGGGGTTTACAGAAAATAATCCATGATTAGTTGCCATTCGAGCTCGTTCCAAAAATATAGTGGTTATTATCCCTTATATAAAATAATATATTTTTGAAACCCTAGCGTGATTATGAATTGGTGGCGACGACGTTCATTCCTACGGAGCCTATCTTCCCCCCTCCTCAAAAATCATAATGCAGACAATCATGTCGTAAACGAGAAGGGTGCTACTCCGATATCAGATAACCGGAAGGAAAGTCAAAATAATACTCGTATTAACCCTCTTATTAAATATATTTGGAAATAAAAAAAAATTGATTTTAGAGGTTATTCATTTATCTTTTTTGAGTCAATTTGGAGGTCAGCTCTTTGGGGATCAATTATTTACTATAAAAAATAACATTTTAAATGAAATTGGGTAGATAGAGTTAGAAAAGGAATAATGGTCTCGGTATGCAATCTCACCTAAAATATTTTCACATTTGAAAATTATAAGAATTTTTATTTTTTCACCAGATAAGCTAATAACTTTTATCAGAGGCCTACAGAGGTACCATTTGAACGGGTCCGGCTTGGATTTTTTTTTTCAAAAATAATTTTTGGTCCGCCCAGGGTTTTAATATATTATATTTTTTTTTATGAATTCTTATAGCTAATAATGGCAATTTAAAATATTTGGTATTAAAATGTCCCGGCCCGGATATTTTTTTAAAAAAATTTAGGCCTGCTAGACCCGCGTTTTTTCTAAAATATTTCCTAGGCCCAGCCCGACCCGGTTATACTTAAAGGATTAAGATTTAGACCTGCCCATAAATGAAAATACGATCCCCCGGATCTGCAGTTCTCTAATTTTTTTTTATAGCCGCTATTGAAGAATTTTTTTTTCCAGGCCTGCCCCAAAAAATTAAACTTAGGATATTCATTTTATTTTAACTTCTTGGGGCTTAAAATTAAAATATGATTTTATGGTTCTCATTTTTTTTTCCATTTATGGAAATATTTTTTTACAAGCCAGGTCTGGCAACTCCTACCCAAAAATATATACGGTCAGAGCCAAAAAAACGAAGCCGGAAAACCCTTAGTAAAAAAAATAAAAAATTTGTTATTTTTAGACCAAGAAGATAACGATTCAACGGATATATATGACAACGTTAACGCTACCGAAAAAAATGGAAAATCCGATAAAGATATACCTCAATATCAAGACGATTATAATTTGGAAGACACGGGTCCTATGGGGTTATTCGATGAATATTTGGAGATGGGTTTATTATTTTGCTATTTATCTATCCATTATAAGTTTGCGTTTAACAAGGTGGCTATGAATTAAGTGGAAATTCAGATCGATGACATTTTTTCCGCCATTAGGGAGAATTATTTGAGGAAAAAAAAATAGAATTAGCCGCTAAATTTAGATTTATAATGATTGAAAGCTAATTCAAGTTTAATTTAAAAAAATTCTACTTCCGGATTAGGATTGTTTAAAGTTATCTTTGAGAAGTAACTAGTTACAATCTTTAAAAATGTCACTGTTTCACTATTTCAAAAGTTACATTACAAAAAATAATTAACGAATATACTACAATAACGTAAGGTATACAATTTGGGTTTACTACAATGTTCGTGGCTGCTTTTCCCTTAGCTCCCCTTTTCTCGCTTCTGAATAATATTATTGAAATACGACTCGACGCTTTCAAATTTGTTACGCAATTCAGGAGGAGCATATCTTGTCGGGCCCAAGATATAGGTTTCATTCGAAAAAAAACTGTATATCATTCTATTTGCTAATTTGGTATCCTATATTATTTAACTTTTCCCATTTTTGTTACATATATTATTTATATTAAATACCTTCCTTTTTTTTAAATTAGGTGTTTGGTACGATATAATTAACGTTATTACAAAATTGTCCGTAATTACCAATGTAAGTTTTTTTTAAGATAAGTTATTATTTCTTTTTAGAGAATTATTGAATAGATAACTTGTTTGCCTATTGATTGGTATAAATCTGGGAAAAATATTTTTTTTAAACTTTCTTCTAGAGATCTTAGCCTGAAAAAGCCCGGCCTGTAATTAGAAAATTTTTTTGTTAGCTCTAACCAAAATTATTTTCAAAAATTAAGCTCTCCTAAGACTAAGGTAAACCCAGACCCCTTTGGAGGGGGGGGGGGTTGGGCCTTCAGCACTACTTTCTTCCATACTAATTACAATAAATACAAAAAAATTTGAGAGAGAGTAGCTAAATATTTAAACTCAGCCATGATTAAGGAATCGCATTGTTATTTTTAGGGTTTTAGTCATTAGAAATAATTTTTATTTTGTAAGTATGTCGGAGGGAAATTGAAAACATGAGAAGCTAATGAATTTTAAATGATGTATCATGTGATATTTCGACTTGCAAATCTATAATTTATTTTAGAAAATTCGGACCTTCCCGATTCATTATTTAAGTGATGCTATTTTCCTGTTAGTAGGCTGTCTTGTATGTCTTCTGATAATTTTTTTTGTATATTTATTTTAAATGGGAATAGTTTTTTCGTCTCAAACTTTTATCGCAGTTATAAAAGCCACCTTTTTACTTAAAATTTTTATTTCATCCATAATATTCTTAAAAAATCCTGGTTAAAATCTCTAACGTATGATTACCTCGACATTAACGGATAATTATTTTTCAAATTTTCGGCACTCCCCAAGGCCATGATTATAGCTTTCACTTCAGACTATATCCCCAAAATGGTTTACCAATACCATTTCTCGAAATACGACACGACATCTGAAAACAATCTCTTATACAACCAATCTAATTACAATCAATACACCCTCGTAGGTTATATGAATCAAAGTCTGTCCGTCTTTAATCTGTCCTACCTGAAGCCACCTTTAAGAAGTATCGACGGAATCTATAGTGGGAGTTACAGCGACGCGAACACGGAAAATATTTCCGTCTGTAGGTTTTTTTAAAAAAAATACCATATTTTTTTTTAATCATTGTCTGCAGTAATGCAAAATCGCTCCATCTGAACCGATTTTTAAAAACGACTGACTCAATATTTTAGCCAGAAACATATTGCCTAAGCCTCGAGATTTCGCTAATTGATCTCCAAACCTTTGTACAATCTATGAGCAAAATTTTCAGGCTTGTATAATATTTTTCTGGATAGAATGCTGAGTTAGCCCGTTTTTAGATTAGAAATCGGTTCAAATGGAACGATATTCCACCACAAATCATATTGGGATAATTTATGTAGATTTTGGATTTTTATTTTAAATAATTCTATACTAAAGATAATTTTTTTAATTTTCATAAATCGAGTTCATCGAAGAGGTATTCTAGCCCTATATAGAGTACACCTTTACTCTATGAATTTTTGGAAAATTTTCGCCCGCTAACTTTTTCGAATATTTTTGCTTATATGGAAATAGATAATCTATGTATAAATTTGATGAAGGTTTAGATGTTCAATATAATATTGTCTGAAATTATACTAAAAAGAGTTATTTATTTTTTAAGGAAAGGTTAAAATGATTTTTTTTTATGCTTAACAATTATAATTTACTAATATTCAACATGTTTTTAAGGAAAATTATAATTATAAATGAGGATATGCTCATTTTAAAAGGGCACTGAATAAAATTATTTTTCTAAAAATATATGCAATAAACATAAAAGACAATAAAAATTGGAACGGCATTTACAAAATTATTTTTAATAATGGATTAGCAAAATATCTAAAGTCGGTGCATATATCGATAGAAGGCTTTTGAATTTTTCTGATAAAAAAAATAATATTTTATTTTTATTTTAGGTACAGAGACTATAGAATTGCTGTTCCCCCTTTCAACATGAGCTACAAGTATTGGGTCATATTGGTTACAAGATTAGCTTTTGTTATCATTTTTGAGGTTTTTATATAAAATATATTGTATTTATTAAATAGTTTTTTTATAAGCGAAACAAAACTTATTACATTTTGGGCAATATATATAATATTTCTTAAAATCTTTAGTTTCATGTTATACTATTTTAAAAAAATATTTAGGTTAAGTCGGCGGGGCTTAATGATCCAATTATAGATATTACAATTAGATCGGCAAATTTCGATCGATGGATCACCTGTGATTAAACGTATCCTTTGCATCATTGTGAATAATTTTAGGGTTTGGGATCGAAGTGATCCACGGATGTCTGAAACTACTAGAGCGAACAATAGATTATTTAGATGGCTATATTAATTGGTCTTTGGGCTTTCTGCTCTAATAATAGAGTTGACAGAAAAAGATTTGGCAAAACGATCAGCACTATTATCCCAAGCGGGACATACGTTGGTTTCATGGGACCAGGGTTATTCCATAGGGTTTAGTTTGATTGTCAGGGCTAAGATTAGAGGATTTCAGCTTGGAAGTAAGCTTTATGGTCTCAAGGTTCTATTGATGGCATAGTGCCTAGGTAATCGGCCTTGAAAAGCTTAGGAATATTAAATCTGAGTTGGTTGGATTTTAGTAGATCAAACAGGTGTGTCTTATTTGAGAGCAAATTATTCTCTGGAATACTCACCCTACTGATATAAGTCTGATTTCTCCATTTGTTTTGTTTAAAGTTATCAAGCTAGTTCCAATTATGATGGACTGAATTATATCCCGAATATTATTGTAAAATATATGATTGTAATTTGATATAAAGGTATGAATCGTATTAAATCTTGTAGGTATATGGCTCGAGCGCCATCAATGCCTCCAGAAGAATCTTTTTTGAATGGCTTGATTGCATACAGATTTCTACCTCAGTTAATGGAACAGGATATCAGAGGGTGGAAAAATGATAGGCGTAAAATCTTGGGGATGTTTAAATTATAGCCCCCTAAGATTTTTCCCAATAGTGTCATTGAAATACCTAGGTTGATAGTTGCATATATATTAAATAGGTTTATTTTATTTTTAATAAGCTTAGATTTTTTTATCTGTCAAAGGTTTATTAAAAGAATGTATAGATTGTTTGGAAATATCAAAGTTAATATCATTTGAATTTAATGTTTTTTTTTATATTTAATGATAAAGGTAAGTTTGATGTAGGAAGGTTTAGATTAAATAAATGCTGAAAGATTAGATAAGGACAGGGCCACCATCGTAGATTTTATTGTATTTAGCGAAGGGTCACTGGTCGGTTTAGACCCCAGAAATAAGATTCAAAAAAGGACTCGGCGTTGTATTCACACCGAGTTTAGAAAGAAAACTAAATTGAATACAGTTAGTTTGTTGGCCAAATAAATGCCGCTCACCACTTTTCCCGAAACTGATCCGGGGGTTGATTCACTAACTAACTATATTCGGTACTATTTAATAAGTATTATATGTTTTGTTTTAAGCTAGAAAAATTGATTTGTTCGAATACTTTAATTTTTTTAACCTTCTCCCAAACATTACTATGTTAGTTCATGACAATTTAGAAGAGAATTAATTTTAAATAGTATTAAACTATCTCTTTGTTACTTGTTTTTTTTAAAAGATCCTTTTTATTTTGTTCTTACCCTTTAATCAAAACGTTTAAATGTAAAATACATGGGCTTATAATACTTATATTAGATATTGGGACGTATTTTTTTGATTGATTTTACCTGTTAATATATATAGAATTTTAATTTAAAACAAAAATATATATTTTTTTTTTAAATATAAGCAAATAATTAATCATTATTAGAAAAAAAACCACCCATCCAGATCAAATTGATTACTTAACACGACATTTAATTTTACCTCAAAATAAAAATACCCCTATCCAGGATCCCAATATTAATATATTTATCCACGCTTTAAAAATATTTATACGTCTGATCATTATAATATACCCTTTTTAGCATTTCGTGTTCGTTTTGACCGAGCTAATAGCCTACCTAATCCCCGATATGCCCTACATTCTCAAAGTTCATTTGGCTAGGCAAAGACTCTTACTCAGAGGAGCTTTGTACGAGTACGACCTCGATTCTCCGCTGATCAACCCAGAACCAGGTGTATCCAAATCTCGAGCCTCCGATAATGTCCACGAAAATGAGCGCGAGATAAATGCCGGAGGCTTGGACGTGAAAAATATTGAAAATATCGATCCGAAAAATCTGGAGGGCGCACGAGACAAAAAGATAACAATTAAAGCGGCTGACCTTGATCCGCAAGCACATTTTAGCGATTTCCAAAGTGGTCTTACGAACAAGAATACCACCCCCACCGATATTGCGCGAAAAAATCTAGCGATTCGAAAAAAGGTTATCGAAGAACTCGGCCAGGCTCTCTCGAAAGATTTACTCGAAAATAAAATATTAAAGGATCTCGACGAATTTCAAATTGGCAAGACGGCCAAATTTGACGAAAATAATCGTTCGACTCAAATAAATATGGACGATACGCTTGGCGCAATGCCAAAACAGAGAATATCAACATCTCCGATGAGGAGAGATGCCTCCGTTCCAAGGATAACCGGTAAAACGAGAGATTCTTTCGAAAAAAGTCTCATCAAAAGCACTAGAAATATTTGAAAAACGTCATCTAATATTAAATGGGAATTAAAATATTCCTTGTTTGATTTATTGATGGTCGTAAATTAAAAGATAATATATATACAATCATCATAACGACAAAATAAAAATGAAACTCATAGTAAAGAAAAAATAAATAAATCCCCCCCCCCCTCACACATATTCTGAAAATGAAATTCGTTTTGTTTGAAAAAAAGAAAAAATTAAGCATTATATACTAATTTTCTCTGCCCATGTAATAAAGTCTTCCAAACTAGATTATATTCTTAACTTCCCTTCCCTCCTCCCTTCATTCTATCGTTTTTATTAATATATATCAAAATCTTCTAGTTATTATTTAAGAATATAAAATAGATACCTATATATTATTAATTACCTTTTTGCGACGTAATATTCTTTTTTAGAGAAAAATATTTTATTTGTAGGATCTTTAGACAAGGTATTTTTAATATAAATATTGCGATATTTTTTTAAAAAAATATATTTTTTTTAAATTATTTATATAGCTCCATTTCACCACCTCACTTATTTTCGCATCATTTTATATATGAGAGGTTTTATTTATATAAATAAACAATATTTTTTTTTTACAACATTATAATATAATATTTTATAAAAATATAAGAGTATTGCGCCATTATCAAATTTATTCGTGCATTTGAAACGATTCAATTGGAAATTTACGATTATTTATGGATATTATAATTAATAAAAAATATCCTTGGTTGGGATAAGGGAAAATATTTTGTTATTAAGTTTATTCTTCGTTGTAGAAGTTTTTTGAACTGCTTGAATTTGAAGGCGCCATATTGGTGTATGCTTTTTGCAGTCTTTCTTATTTTAGCATAAGAAAGCATGTTTAAGATTTAAAATAATGGAAATATACTTAAAATTTTTGTGGGATAAAATATCAATACACAGGGAGGAATTATTTAAATTAATTTTAACTTTTGCTAAAATTAAAAATAGAATATAACCCATTTGAAATAGATTATAACTTATTGAAATAAAATACTTAGCAATTCACAATTCTTCTAAAAACCTTTTATATTTTAAAAATGTTTGCTACAGGTGGGGGAGAAATTCCCCCCCCCTCTCCTCCGCTGGCTGCGTACCTGGCATGGTTTCATTTTTAAAAGATGGTGCCCCGGTTACGGTGGTACGTTTTTCGTTTCTCTTTTTTAAAAATAAAATAAAGTAAATAATAAAAGTTTAAAAAAATATCCTTACCTTGAATTCTTTTGTAAAAATAAATAGTAAAGGAATTACTTATCAAATTCGTCGTTCGATATTGGAGATGATAAAAGGACAAATAAAATTTTTTGACTTTTCTTTTCGATAGTCAAAATTTTATCCAAATTTACAAAATTATAAAAGGTAAAAAAAAAATAAAATAAAATAAAATATATATATATAAATAAAAGAGTAATATGATAAAAAAATAGTTTTTCATCAAAATCTTTCAATTTCTACGTTAGGATGTTTTGTTTCAAAGCTTTTAACATACCGCACTGCATAATTATTGATAAGATGTTGAGGGAAATGGGAGGATGCAGTAGATTCTCTTATGTCCGAAATAACAGGACGAATGAAATTCACTTTTACTTTAAAACCCTCCGAGAGATGATCAATACTTATATGTCTCTTAATGGAAAGCCTTACGTTTTTGATGAAAATAAATTCATTTTTATATTTTGTGCAATTACGGAATATTAGAAATTAAATGTTAAATCTTAAATATCTTTGCAAACATTATACGCTTTATATATTTGACATACTACATTTATAGGGTATAGAAAATTTTCCCTATGTTACATTATTAAATAAAAATTTACGCGATGCTTAACAGACAGTCTATAGAATATTAATAAAAAAATTTTTAATTTTCCTTCATAACTTAAAGTAGTATGAAATTCTTTGTGACGAGTCAAGTCTAGATATTTATAGATAATTCAAATTAAAACTTAGTGGACTAAATCCTCTTTATAAATTAGAATTAAATTTTTCACAGACAAATTATATTGAAACTTAGTGGACTAAATCCTCTTTACGAATTTGAATTAAAATTTTTATAGACAAACTATATTGAAACTTAATGGACCACATTCTCTTGATTAAAATTAAAATTTTGTATACAACTCAAATTTGAATTTTAATGGACTACATGCATATTTTGCTTTTACGATTTTAAAAATTGAAAGTTTACCTTATTTAAATAAAATTTTAACATGGATGATAAATTAATTCTTACACAGACTCAATATGTTCCTAAATTTCCCGTGTTATCAGGGAAATTGTCGGAAACTTATCATTAACTTAATTGAAACTTATTTTGAAGGACATATTGGGTCAGACTCATCTAAAGTTAGGACACTACTATGTGGCTTACCAATTGAGATTGTAGACCAAGTTACGTCGATATGTTCTAAAGCACAGTTAAAAGACTTTAATATTGTTTTTGGTAAATTGAAACTAATAATTCCAAGTGAGGACATGAATGTAAATATAAAGAACTTTAACTTAGCGGTACAAGGTGCCGAAGAGTCCTTCCATACTTTTTATTTTAGGATTTCAAAACTTCATAAAAAATGCGATTTTGATAACGATACGAGAATGATTGAGAAATTAATAACTTGTTCTTTAAATGATAATATCAGAAGGAAGTTAAATAAACATAAGCACGAAGGCTTAGATAAGATGATGAAATTAGGAGTTGAGTTAGATGGCAGTAATATCAAGCCGGAGATTAGCGATACAAATTATATAGATAAAAACGAAAATTTTATAAAATCTTAATAATTTTAGGCCAAGTGATATAAATAGCAGAAACTACCAAAACAGTAATTTCCGAAATAACGATAGTCACTCTAGAAATTTTAGTAATAATCAATCTTCAAACAACTACAATTCAAGCAATTTTGGTAGGAACAACGCTCGGCTAAGATTATAACTACAATTCAAACAATTACGGTAAGAACACCACTCGGCAAGATTACAATAACAATTCAAACAATTATGGTAGAGGTACTTGGCAAAACAACAACAATTCAAACTATTACGGAAGAAACTCCATGTGGCACAATAACAATAATGCAAACAATTATGATAAAAACAATGCCTGGCAAAACAACAACAATTCAAACTATTACGGAAGAAACTCTATGTGGCACAATAACAATAATGCAAACAATTATGATAGAAACAATGCCTGGCAAAACAACAACAATTCAAACTATAACGGAAGAAACTTCAGGTGGCACGATAATAGCAATTCAAACAATTATGATAGAAATAATGCCTGGCATAACAATAATAGAGATGGTGGAAACAATACATGGAAAAACTATAATCTAAGAAAACAAATACAATATCATGATCAGAGCCAAAGTAATGGCAACAATTGCAATATGAATATTGAAGAGATTGTGGAAAATAAAAATGATGTTACACAAAATAATAATGATAGTGATTTTAATATCAACAATTTAACAGAGCATAAACTCAATGACAATGCATTCATGGCTTCCTTAAAAATAAACGATGTTACCGTTACAATGCAAGTCGATACTGGATCTAAATTCACAATTATACCTCATGATATGGCTAAACAAATAGGTATTAAAGATCTTAAAAAGTCCACTCTACAACTCACAGCTTATGATGGAAACTTAATTAAAATTATTGGCGTCACTCATGTTAAAGTAACCTACGAAGGTATCACCAAACACTTGCATGCCGTGGTCGTTAAATCTAATAAAAATGCGTTATTGGGACGTATGTGGATTAATGCCTTTAGTAATATTTTGAACAAATTTATAGCAAACATTGATACCAACTATGAAGATGAAATAAAGAAATTAATAAAAGATTGCGAATCTAAACTGACTAAAAAACCGATCAACAAAGGGAATGTCAAGATATATCTACGTAATGACGCCAAACCGAAAATCATACCACCTAGACGGTTACCTTATTCAAAGATAGACGCTGTCACTAGAGAACTTACGAGATGGATAGGAGATGGAGTCATTGAGCCGGTAACAGATGTCCGATGGGCAAGTCCGATAACCGCTGTCTACAAGGATAATGGGAGCGTTAGGGTTTGCGCCGACTTCAAAGACACTGTCAACCCAGCCCTTGAGGACTTCAGATACCCACTTCCAAGAATAAATGATCTTATCGCTAAGCTTAAGGAAGGGAAGAAGTTCACCAAGATAGATTTCAAGGATGCGTTCCTACAAATTCCCATCGACGAAACCTGCAGAGACATATTAACTATATCTACACACAGGGGGTACTACCGGTTTACCAGACTTCCTTTTGGGTTAAAGACTTCATCTGCGATTTTTCAACAAATTATGGATCAAATTTTCGGTGACATGAAAGATGTCGTATTTTATATACGGGAAGTAGTGACGAAGTTCATTTCAACAACATAAAGAAGGTTTTTGAAAGAATACTATCTCATGGTTTAGTGCCTAATTTTGCAAAAAGCTTATTTTTCAAAAAAAGTCTAAGGTTCTTAGGACACGACATCGACGCCAAGGGGATCCACGCCAACCATGACAAGATCGAGGCGATCGTTAAAATGCCGGAACCAAAATCAGCCGCGGAATTGTCAACGTTTCTAGGTATGGCCGGGTACTACAGAAAATTTTTGAACAACTTCGCTGAAATAGCTGATCCTTTATACAAGATTGTTAACAAAGAAAAATGGGAGTGGAATTTGGAACACTCCAAAAGTTTTGATGATCTAAAGACATTGATTAGTCTTCCTCCAGCTTTGACGTACTTTAATCCTGAACTACCTATCGGAATTGCGACTGATGCATCTAAAAGAGGTTTAGGAGCTGTTTTGTTTCACACTGAAAAAGATGGCAAAGAAAAACCGATAGCTTTTGCATCAAGAACTTTAGCAAAATCCGAAACAAACTATACCAATATTGAGCGTGAAGCTCTGGCCATTATGTTTGCTATCAAGAGATTTCAAGAATACTTGATAGGGACTAAGTTCACTATTGTAATGGATCACAAGCCGCTAATCCATATTTTCACCAAAGGGCTCAAAGATAATAGCACCATGTCATTAAGGTTACAGAAGTGGAGTATAATTTTGGGGGGTTACGACTTTAACATCAGATATAAGCCTGGTAAATACAATGTTGTTCCCGATTGCCTCTCAAGACTACCACAAGTAATGGATGATGACGTTATTGATGATATCGCGATTATAAATGACTTTGGCGATATACCTCTTAGTTTTGACCGAATACGTGATGAAACGTCCAAAGATTTTGAATTATCTCAAGTTATGAGTGACATAAGAAATAATGTGCCTATCCAAAATAAAATTTATGGAAATATTGAATACGAACTAAGTATCATTAAAGATTGTCTGTACAAAAGCGACAAAATAATAATTCCGTCAAGTCTGAGAAAGAACATACTGAAGGCGTTACACGAAGGTCATTTGGGAGCAGGTA